TCATCCATGTTATGCGGTGTTTTCCAGATTCTATGTTATTCTTTTGTGTTGTATAGTATTCCATTGTGTGTATGTAGTAGAGTTTGGTTATCCATTCTTCTGCTGATGGACACCTAGGTTGTTTCCATCTTTTTGCTATTATAAATAGTTCTGTAACGAACATGGGTGTGCATATATCTGTTCTTGTCCTGGCTCTCACTTCTTTAGGACATATATCTGGTAATAGAATTGGTGGGTCAAATGGTATATTTCTCATTCCAACTTTTTAAGGAATTGCCATACTGCTTTCCACAGTGGTTGTATCATTTGACACTCTCACCAGCAGTGAATGAGAGTCCCAATCTCTCCACATCTTCACTACCATTTGTTATTTCCTGTCTTGTTGAACTTTGCTACTTGTGCTGAGGCAAGCTTGTATCTCATTATTGTTTTGATTTGCACCTCTCTAATGGCTAATGATTGTAAATATCTCATCATGTGTTTATTGGACACCTAAATATCCTCTATGTCGAAGTGTTTTTCATGTCTTCTGCCCATTTTTAATTGGATTATTTGTCTTTTTGTTGTTGCAGTGTTGGAGTTTTCTATAAATTTTAGAGATAAATCCCTTGTCAGATATGTCATTGCCAAATATTTTTTTTTCCCCAATCTGTAGGTTCTCTTTTGACTCTTTTGGAGAAGTGTTTGGAAGCACATACAAATTTAATTTTTAGAAGGTCCCATTCATCTAATTTGTTGTCTGTTGTTTGTGCATTTTTGGTTATGCTTGATAGTCTATATATGCCATATATTGTTGTTGTTCTTGTTATGTGTCATTGAGTCAGAACTAAATCATAACAACCCCTCCAAGGGTTTTCCAAGGTGGTATCCCTATGGAAGTAGATTGTCCAACCTTCCTTCCAAGGAGTGGCTGGTTGGTTTGAACCACCAGCTTTCTGGTTAGTGGTCAAATACCCTAGGCATTACACCACCTGCCTTCTGGTTAGCAGTTAAGTGCCTTAGGCACTATGCTACCAGAGCTCCTATGTCATATATTACGGTCCCTAAATTTGTCCCTATTTTTTCCTAGAGGAACTCTATAGTTTCAGGTTTCACAGTAAAATTTTTGATCCATCTGGAGTTAGTTTTTGTTTATGGTGTGAGGTACAGATCTTGTTTCATTTTTCTGCAAATTGATATCCTGTTTTACCAGAACCATTTGTTAAACAGACAATCTCTTCCCCACTGAATGGATTTCAGCCCTTTGTCAAATACCTTTTTTCAACAACACAAATGGCAGCTATACACTTGGAATTTGCCAGTTGGAGTACACAGGAATCAGACTGACTATATCTGTAGCAAGAGGTAATGGAGGAGCTCCATATCTTCAGCCAATACAAGACCAGGAGCCAATTGTGGAACAGACTGTCAACTCCTCATATCCAAGTTCAACTTGAAGTTGTAGACAATTAAAACAAGTCCACAAAAGCCAAAATAGAACCTTGAATATGTCACATGTAAATTTAGAGACCATCTAAAGAATAGATTTGATGCATTGAACAGCAATGACTGAAAACCATAAGAATTGTGGGATGACATCAAGAACGTCATTCATAAAGAAAGCAAGAGGTCATTAAAAACACAAGAAACGAAGAAAAGACCAAAATGAATGTCAGAAGAGACTGAAACTTACCTTTGAGCAGAGAGTAGCTAAAGCAAATAGAAGAAATGACAAGATTAAAGAGCTGAACAGAAGATTTCAAAGAGCAGCCTGAGTATACAAAGACAATTACTGTAATGAAATGTGCAAAGACCTGGAGTTAGAAAACCAGAAGGGAAGAACATGCTGGGCATTTCTCAAGCTGAAAGAACTGAGGAAAAATATTAAATCTCAAGTTGCAATATTGAAAGATTCTATGGGCACAATATTGAATGATTCAGGAAGCATCGAAAGAAGATGGAAGGAATACACAGAGTCACTCTACTAAAAAGAACTGGTCAATCTTCATCCATTTCAGGAGATGGCATATGATTAAGAATCAATGGTATTGAAGGAAGATGTCAAAGATTCATTGAAGGAAATGGCAAAGAATAAGGCTCCAGGTATTGACAGGATACCCATTGAGATGTTTCAACAAATGGATGTCCCACTGAAGATACTCACTCAGCTATGCCAAGAGATCTGGAAGACAGCTACCTGGCCAACTGACTGGAAAAGATCCATATTTGTACCCATTCCAAAGAAAGGTTATCCCACAGAATGTGGAATTTATAGAACAATATCATTAATATCACTCTCAAGTAAAATCTTACTAAAGATAATTCAAAAATGGTTGCAGCAGTATATTGACAGAGAACTTCTAGAAATGCAAGCTGGATTCAGAAGAGGGCATGTGACGAGGAATATCATTGCTGATGTCAGATGCATCATGACTCAAAGCAGAGAATACCTGAAAGATGTTTACTTGTGTTTTATTGACTATTTGACACATTTTTTGTGTATGTGTGGATAATAGCAAATTATGGATAACATTGAGAAGAATGGGAATTCCAGAGCTCTTAATTGTACTCATGAGGAACCTATACATAGACCAGGAGACTGTCATTCGAACAGAAAAATGGGACACTGCATGTTTTAAAATCAAGAAGGGAGTGTGTCAGGGTTGTATCCTGTCACCATAGTCATTCAATCTTTATGCTGAGCAAATAATCCGAGAAGCTGGACTATATAAAGAAGAATGTGGCATCAGGATTTGAGAAACAATCATTAACAACCTGTGATACACTGACCACACAACTTTGTTTGCTGAAAGTGAGGATGACTTAAAGCACTTATTATTGAAGATTGATGACTACAGTCTGCAGTATGGATTACATCTAAATATAAAGAAAACAAAAATTCACACAACTGGACCGATAAGCAGCATCACAATAAATGAAGAAAAGATTGAAGTTGTCAAAGACTTCACATTGCTTGATTCTATAGTCGACACCGATGGAAGCAGCAGTCAGGACATCAGATGACATTTAGCACTGGACAAATCAGCTGCAAAGGACCTCTTTCAAGTACTGAAGAGCAAAGACTAGGGTGTGCCTGACACCAACAATGATATTTTCAATCTCCTCATATGCATGTGAGAGCTGGACAATGACTAAGGAAGAATGAAGAAGAATTGATGCTTTTGAGTTGTGGTGTTGGCGAAGAATTCTGAAAGTAGCTTGGACTGCTAAAAGAACTAACAAATCTGTCCTGGAGGAAGTACAGCCAGAATGCTCCTTGGACAAGAGATGACCAGACTTCATCTTCTCTAGTTTGATCATGTTATCAGAAGGGACCATTCTCTGGAGAAGGATGTCATACTTGGTAAAGTGGAGGGTCAGCAAAAGAGGGGA